ACATACTAATAAAGTAATATAGTATATATATATATATATATATATATATATACCAGATAAAGAGGTTAACAAAACCATGTCCTGTGTTTCAAGGATCACTGGTCTTTGCTGTCAAGGTCCTGCTAACAATGCTAGTCATGTAAACATAAACAATGAGCCAACAGATGGTGCATATGAAATGTTTTTATGGAGGCAATAATGATTTGTAAACATGAGGGAGAGGCTGTTGGCTAGTATTACGATTATTTAAATTTGCATGTTTTGGTAAACTTTGTTGAACCGTCAGTAATTTCAGTCTTATTCCAATCAATGTTATGGTCTATAATTACAAATTACAAAATGTTTCTTTACTGCTTTTCTTTTCTGTTCATTACTGTATATTTTTAACTTTTGTCTGGTTTCTTCTATTTAAGAGGAGTCAAGATCATCACATTTAATTTCATACACTACACCAGAGTTGACCAATCTTTAGGATGGACAAGATTCTTTTAATGAGAAACAGAGTTGATAAGTAACTGGGATTCTAGCTGAACTAATAATTCTAGTCAACTTTTCACCAGTTTCTTGGATATATGTTAGGATTAAATGTAATATAAATGAACTGTGTTTTAGAACCTTCATAATATGTTTTAATTCGTTGGTCAGGGTGATGCAAAAAAAGGAGATAAGGTTTCACTAAAAGTGAAATAAAGAAAAAGAAGGTTGCAAGATCTGGACAGAATAATAGAAGAAAACCCTGAAAGTATTTTCATAGATATTAATTTAGATAAAAAATGTACTGAATACATCATTCTATCTATGTACACACATTTATATACTCAAAATATGAATATCAGTGTGAATTTATATATTTTTTCCATGCAGAAAGTTTCATATAGGTACATGAACTACATTCCAAGGATCAAAACACCATTTCTAGCAGTGTCACATCATGGCAATAATTTTCATTAAGCAAACAAATCAGCTAAATTGATACACTCTCAATGGATCTCAAGCTTTTGAAACTGTCATAAAATTGTGTACTTCAATGAACAAACAGTGTAAATAAATAGAAAAGTACATATTGTTACGACAGCGGAAGTCACGTGACTCTGTTGGCATGAGTGATGAGTTTTTCGAATGATCGGAAAAGTCCGAGTGTGTTCGAGATGCCCTCTTCGTTAGTATGTAAGCCTGGCACAGATGAATGCAGAGCAAGCAGTAGTTACTTTGAGCTCCATGTAATTTATGATTCTGTTAGTTTAGAGCTAGTGAGCC